TTCAAGGTGGGTTCGGGCCGATGGTTTATAAGTTAAGTTTCTTAAACTGTTTGAAAATTAAAGTGGGCTGTAGGTTTTATTAGTTGGGCCAGTTTTCACTTGCTTTATGAGGCCCTTTTCTCTTTTGTGCTCATGTGCTAATAACTGGAAGCATTAATCGAACCCCTTCCATATTGGCTGGACATTTACTAAAACTAGTACAGAGCCCGTGCGATGCACGGGATGCACAATTTTAAGGTTATTTATCCAGACTTATAATTATATACATGAATAAAGAAAAATGTACGGAATCTATATAGTACTTGACCCGCGAGATATATTTATTATAAGATGAATAATATATTATAAGATGCAATATTCAATAAAAGTTTATAATACGCAAGAAATTGTACGATGTTCAATAAAAATTTTATAATATTCAAGTGGAGTCCTAAAGTCTCTTGTACATTAAGACTACTGACAAAATAATATTTTAATCAATGAGTTTCATTTCTTTGTAGCCAAATTGTGAATGTGATTTGAGGAGTACAACAAATCGATATATAGCTGACTTGTTTTTTTCATTGTAGTTTTTTTTTTATAATAAATTTAAAGATATTCTAAAATATAGAAAAAATTAATTTTCTTATTACAATTAGGAATTTTACTAAATATAAGCTCTCAATCTATGGTGTTAATCAACGTTTAAGTCTAAAAAATTAGGAATTTTTACCTCTTTTAATCAACGTTTAAGTCTAAAAAACAATAGAGTTATTATAAGTTTTTTTTCTACATCTTTTAAAACATTAAATATGAGCATGTTAGGGCTAGCTTGTAAAATAATTAATATATTATCTCACTAAAACATTTATACTAATAAAAATTTAATTTTAGCATATAAATTTATCCCTTGATATAAGAGAAAGTAATAGTTTTACTTATTGTTGTTCAACATATAATATTTAACTATTATTTTATTATATAATAAAAAAAGAATATTGTTAAATAGTGTAGTAGAATTGTTATAAAATTATATGAATTTTTTTTTACAATATGGATTTAATATTTTTTATGATTTGATAATATAAACAAATCTATACTTAAGTTTGACAAATATAACAAATAAGTACTTTAGTAAGTATTTAATGTATATACTAAATAGGAAATATATTTGGTATAATTAAATACCAAATATAATCAAATAAGTCAAAGTGTACATTTTTATTTGGTATTTAATTTTTTTATTATTAAAATCTTTTTATTATACTTACCTTTTTAAAATAAAACAAATAAATAAATCAATTAAATAAATAAAATATTATAATACCAAAATAGTAATGACATTTAATGCAGTTGATTTTTCTGGATAATAAATGTAGTAAATAGAATATCTTTTTATATAATATAATACGGAAATAGTAATGCAATAAATGTTGTTGACTTTTCTGGCTACTTAATTTGGTAAATAGTACCCCTTTTAATATAAGTATAGATTAAGGTATAGAAATTAGATGAGAAAAAGAGCCTAGATTTGATTATCTAAGGAGATAAATGCTTAAAAATTACTAAGGCTATGTTTGGTAAAACTAGCTGATAAGCTAGCTTATAGCTTATTTGTAATTTTTTAACTTATAGCTTATAGCTGAAAAGCTAACTTATGTGATAAAAATCTTTGGTAAAATTAGCTGATAAACTAGTTGAAATAAAAAATTCAACTAACTTATTTGAAAAGCTACCTAAAGTAGCTTATCAGATAAGCTCGAGCTTTTTAAAAAATCTCGTCCTACCAAACGAGACTTATTTGAATACATGGAGCTTATAAGTTAACTAAATAAGCTATAAACTAGCTTATTTGGCTTACCAAACATAGCCTAATAATGAACTTGAACACTTTAGAACAAAAATTGCCAGAATTTTGAGAATAATATAGAAGAGAAGAGGAAATGAAGAAATGTATGAAAAATAGGTTGAGAGAAGGAGTATATAGGTGACAAATTGGGAAAAAAAAAAATAAAATCATTCAACTGCATGTTCCGAATCAGATTCAGAAGTGACAACTTGATCATTATAATCCAATCTGCGAAACTTGCAACAGATAGTTAATCCAACGGTTAAATTTACAAATCTGTCCAGGAGCTCACCAATCTCGAGTCCAACTCATCCTAACCTAGAGCTGGTTAGAACCGAATGTTTAAATTCAAATTCAAATTCTAAATATAAATCTGGTGGGCCACGCAGGAAACCCTTCGAGTTGTCCGATTTTGGGATCGAGTTCAATTGTTTAACTCTGACCCAAATAATCAAAGGGCCCAGCCTGCATGGTTCGTCGGGCCAACCCAGCCCAGTGGCTATGTCTTGTGGGTCAATTAAAAAATGTAAGAAGGCACATCTTTTGCAACATAATACTTTGCTATGGCTTAATCTGGATTTAAATACTCAATTGGGGGGAAAAAAAAAAAAAAGAAAACCAACATTGCACATTTTGTTCTCACACATTTTCATACTTCTAAAGTATAAAATGAATTCAAATTACCCAGATTAAGTTGCAATTTTTTTTCCTCCTAATCTGTATCCTTCAATCATCAACACTCTTAACAATGACAAGACTGCATACATACAATATGAGATTACAAATATACTGAGAAATTACAAATATAAACACTGTTACAAATACAGGTTTAACTTTTTAACAACTAGTTTGATGTACACATTCCTATTGTTCAGTTCTTTTTTATTCCTCAATACTTCCTTACCTAACAGTCTTCATCTGAATAAGGCCACCTTAAAATCGGCCCTTTTTCTTAAAGTACGAAAAAATACCTTCATTTTTCGACTGGCTAAACACTTCGCCTCCGAGGTGAGAGCAATTTCTGAGCATTCTTTGCTGCAACCACTTTGCTTACCAACACTCTCCATTTTGCCTCGTCTTTCTTCCTCTGCTGCTGCATTTTCACCTTGAAATGCCTAAAAGGTAAAAACGAAAGACGATACTCGAATCAAACCAATATTTACACAACACACACAAAAAAATACAACAACAACAACAACACAGTCTTTTAGTCCCAAGCAAGTTGGCAAGTTGGGGTAGGCTAGAGATGAAACCCAAGAAAACACACACAAAAAAAAAATAGTAAAATAAAATAAAATAAAATAAAATAAAAGAATACCAAGTTGGTTGAAATATATACTTGAAAAATAAGGCAAAATTACATTTTTAGTCCTGCTGGTTTCACACCATAGCAATTTTAAGCCCAAAGTTCCAACATTTCACTTTTTGGTCATGTGATTTAATATTTTTTTGCAATTTCAGTCTTCTGAAATTGCAACAAATTCCCGAATTCCCAGATTTTCGATTAGCAATTTAAGTTCTGTAATTAAAAATTTTGTTGCAATTTCAGTAAATTGCAGCAAAACATTAAATCACAGGACCAAAAGTCGAAAAGTTGGAACATTGAAACTAAAACTGCTATTTTCTACGAAAATATAACATTCGATTTGATTTTTGTTTTCCAAGCAACAGATTACTTAGCATGATGGATAAACCAGACACATAAAATGCAGAAACAATTTAGCTAGATAGAAACAGCTCACGATGGAGGGAAAATAAAACAAAATATATATATATATATATATAAACTCTAAAGCATTAATTAATTTCACATACCTACAAAGAGGTACTTTGCAGTAATCGGGATCGTTGCACATTCGAGAGTGTAGCTCGAGAAGCTGCCACATTCGTTTGCAGTGGGCACAGCCACCCGGGACTTTAGCCTTACAGCACGAAAAATGACGGATTAGAGTCTCGAGCCCTTTGCATGCCGAAAAACCACAGCTCACTTGGCTTCCGTTCAGAACTTTATCACGGGGCCCAATTGTTCTGCACCCTTCTCGGCTAATATGAAGCAAAGCCTCCATTGCCTCGTGCAGTTGAAGGTATACTTTTTTCTCCTCGATTTTTTTCATCCTCTCTTGTTTCCTCTNAAAAAAAAAAAAAGGTTTAGAGTTCTATGTTTTAACTTTTGTCAGAAAGAAACAAAAAGAAAAGTGAGAGCTAAAGAATAACAACTGATTCGGGTTAACTTAAGGATTTAATGTAGGCAAAAATTGCATATAAAGGCACTACCTTTAAGGCTTTTTGCAAATTAATCACCCTCTTTTGATATTTACATTTAAATTTTAAATCACCATCTTTCATATGCAAATGCAAATATGTTTTGCTATCGAAGCATAAAGTAAACTTCCGTTAAGACTTTCGTCTATGACGAGTCAACCACATAGACTTTTCTTCTGTGCCAAAGTCAGAAGTTAAGTTTATGCTTTGATTTGCAGAACATATGAAATATGGTTTTAAACGAAAATAGCAAAAGGTGATGATTAAGGGTGTGATTGGATATGGATTTAATTGGTTTTAAATTAGTTCTTTTGTTAACCATAATTAATTTTGAAAAAGGTGGTATGATTAGTTGTTAGTGGGAATTTAAGTTTGAATTAAAATAATATTTAAAATAAAAATATTAAAATTGATTTGATGTAAAAGTAGGAGAGGAATAATGTGAAGTGATTGCTAGTTAAAATTATGTGAGTGGATGAATAGTGAATTAAAATTGATGTGATGTGTAAGACTGATTGGTTGATATTATTTAACTATATTGATAATATTGATGACAGTTATTTTTTTTTTTTTTATTATCCAATCACACCCTTAATGACAAAAGCCTTAAAGGTGGTGCCTTTATATGCAAATTTGCCTTTCATGTAAGCGTTAAAAGTTAAAACTCACTGTATCAGCTTCAACGACTGATTCTAATAGCTCTTGTTCGAGGGAAGGATTAGACCGTCTCATCACTTTCCATGCCTCGGTTATCGATATGCATTTGAAGTCTCTCACGACCATACGAATGCAGACGAGGGAAAGGCGTGGAGCATCACAGATTCTAGCTAACTGCAAAACATCTATGACATTCTCTTTAGTCAACCAGACTTGTTCTAGAAAGTTCTCACATACTCTTTTCAGAGATGGTACTGCGTACGAATGTGAAAGAACCAGTAAATGGAGAACAAACTCGTTCATGTCATCTCGTTCGAAACTGCACTTGAAATGTATATATATACATAAGCCATCAGAATTCAAATAATTGAAAAATCTTGCAAAAAAATTATGATAAGAGTTACTTTATCCATGATTAGGAAGCATGTGACTTGGAATAATCGTAGATTTGCGCTCACAAATGTTGGCGAGTTAAATTTGAATGCAAGGGATCAAACTAAAAAAATAAATAAAAAAATAAAAAGTGTTATTTGCATCTATTGCAACATTTTCCAGTACAAATCATTCATTTATAATGCGCTATCGGTAATTGTGTGCTCATCGAGCTCAAAAATTGCACTATAGAAGTTCTAAAACAGAAAAAAAAGGTGAATAAAAAAAATCTAACAATATAAAAAAGTGGTTATCGTGTCTTACCAAGATGAATAGAGAAAACGGATGAAAGCGCGGAGGGCACCATACGGTACTCCGGGAATACTTATACGTCTTACACCATTCTCAACTTTCGACTGCTGTAGAAGGTAACCGAGCACTTGGGAGGCAACACTCT